GAGCCTTAGAAAGGAGCCTTAGAAAGGAGCTTTAGAAAGGAGCCTTAGAAAGGAGCCTTAGAAAGGAGCCTTAGAAAGGAGCCTTAGAAAGGAGCCTTAGAAAGGAGCCTTAGAAAGGAGCCTTAGAAAGGAGCCTTAGAAAGGAGCTTCCTACCCCTATACTTTTCTACCCCTATACTTTTCCGCGTGTAGTGGCTTCATTTCCGTAAGTAGTGACATTTTCATTTCCGTAAGCAGTGACATTTGCATTTCCGTAAGCAGTGACACCTTATCCGCTCAGAGTGATCATGATTCCGCAAGATGTGACAAGTCTTGTGCCACTGGACATGTGGGAACAGTCCGCAGGACAAACACAGAGTCCCCAAACGATCCTGATGGGCATGGATCGACCATAGTTTGCCCGAATGCAAGAGAGTGACACCCAACATGGAAAACTTATAAGCCATTTGGTTGTCCTAAATCTGTCCATGTGAAAACCATTGAAAGTCTCGAAAAAAACACCGCTCCCCCAATTCCCTTACACAACCCTGCAAGCAAAACAAGGAACACGACAAGGCACGTGTCCCACCAGGATTCCCTACATTGCGTAACAGGGGGCATAGGGCTGGGCCCTTGGATCCATTTACGGCCAATTGGGGGAGCTTCCGGCTGTTAGTCTGGCCAAGCAAGCAATCCCAAAACTGAGGGAGGGTAGATCCAGCCCTGAGCAATCCAAAAATGAAACGGGCTCCAGCGGCACTCCAGCGGCTCCCTTTGACCACCGCGCCCGGGCGAAGAGCGCCCGCATCTCGTCGGCGCTCTGGGTGTCGCCCTGCTCTGAGAAGAGCGTCATCGCCTAGGAGGCTTCGGCCGCGGCTCGACGCGCTCTGAAATCTGGCTGTGGCTCAAAAAACCATCATCCCCTTTCGGTTTCCCAGAGAACAATCCTAGGGCTTCGCCATCACCAGCTGCACTGACAGGTGAGATGCGGAGCACTAAGAAGAACTCTGTTCAGGCGGGACCTTGTTTCAGAGCCTGGCCTCCGGACCACCCAAGCACGCGCTCGCTGCGAACCCACACGCGGCTGCAAGGTTGCTTGCCCAACCCCCCTGACACGGAGAATGCACTCACCCACCCTAGCTTGAGCGCACGTGTGCCTGCTTGCGTCCGGAGCGCGCGCGCCGAGACCAAAAATGCATTATAGGCAGCCCGTCCCAGCCCCACAGGAACCGGTGGAAAAATGCAGAGAAGACGGTATGCGCGATGTTTTCCGCACAGCGGCGGCGGCCGCATTTGCGCAAGGAAAACCGCTCACTCGATCGCAGACTTGCCCGCTAGGTCCGCCTCTTGCCAAAGCCTACTCTCAAAAGGCCATTTTTGAAGGTTTCAGCGATGCAGGGGATGCAGGGCATGTAAGGGATGCAGATGCTGGTGATGCAGGGAATGCCGAGGATGCTGGCGAAGTTTGTGAGGATGCAGAGGATGTTGGCGGGGATGCTGGCGACTGTCCGGGGCGATTTGCGCAGTATTTACAGTGTTTTTTGAAGGTCGGGCAACGTGGCATCAGAAGCCCGTCGCAAGGCCAGGGAGGCCGGGGATGTTTTGGGGTCCAAGTGTTTGGGCCGGCCTGCGTGCAGGTGATGCAGGCAATGCTGAGGAGGAGCTTGGGGTGCAACAAAACACGTCAGCGGTATACCCTACGGGTAGGGTTGCCCTCGCTCTTCGAGCTCGAAGACACACAGCGCAGCTGGATTTCACACCAGGTGGGTGTTTGTTGTTGTTTCTTGAGTTCTTCCCCCACCGTTCGCTTTTGATGTGACTCAAAAAACCGGAATTCCAAAATGGGTTGCCAAAAGGCAAGTGGAAACATGGGTACCAAAACCTGCGGTTTGCCCCTCCGATTGCTTAATTTTGAGCCACACCCATTTGCTTTGGGAGCCTGCATGGGGGTGGCTCCCAAATCGCCGTGTGGGGAAGGGGTGGGCGGCCATCAAAATGACTTGACCTTGACTGGACGCCTCAAAGTGTCGCCGGCGTTGGGCTTGATGGACCTTCTGCCCACAAAAAAGGGTGGAAGACACCGAAAGGAGGTGAACAGTTCAACTGCTTTTCAAGGGAGTTTTGGAACTGGCTCGATCAAACGTTTCTAGGTTGATGCTCCACCAAAAGAGCCCGGTTTCTTTTAGTCGACGCACAAATCGCACTCCATTTTCGTCTCATGCCAAGGGTTGGCAACACTTGGAACTGCCCTTTACAAGGAAGCTTCCTTTGGGGTGATGTTCCAAGGAAAAGTCGGGAACCCTGTTGGTTGTGGCAAACTGTTCCAACCCGAGCCCCAAAAGGCAATGCCTGACTCATCCAAAGAGCGCCTGATGAAACCAACGGTAAGTGGGTTTGCCCCCCAAGCCTGCAACGCTGCCTGACAAACAACCAGTTTGGAAGTTGGCCCCAACCCTGATCCAAATCCAAACCACCAAGTCATCAAGTAAGGGTAACCACCAACTAGGCTGGAATCCCATTTGCAGACAAGGACCAGGGGCTCAAACCCAAGATCCCTCTAGAGAACCCTCAAGAACCCACACCCCATACTTCAAGTTGCTTGCCTCCCTTGGAAACAAAACCACCACAGAACCGTTGCCCCCCCCTTAACACACCAAAAAAACAAAACAAAACACGGCGGTCGCTGGGCGCCCCTGCCCGGCCAGCGGCCTCGATGGCGCGCCTGGGCCGCCGCAACGCCAGCTCGCCTCGAGCGAAGCTCGGGGCTCGGGGTCTGCGAGATGGGATGGTCGTGGCCGTGGCTCAGAAAACTGGGAGACCAAAGTGGGTCGCCAAAAGGTAAATGGAACCAACCACTGAAACCTGCGGTTTGCCCTAGCACACCCAGATTGGCCCACGCTCTGCGGGGCTGGCGCGAGGAATCCTGGGATGCCCGAAGCACGAGGTCCTTTGTGAGGGCGGCTGATTTCTTTAGATGGGACATGGGTCCTGGCTATTGGATTTAGAGGACCAACACAGAAAGAACAAGAAAGCATAGACAAAGAGATGCTCAGCCCTTTTGGTTGTCTGAGAAAAGCATCCCAACAGGATATCATCAAACAACTATACACCCACTTTGGGTCCATACTATGGATACGTTGGGTCTTGCAACCTTCTTTGGGGCTGGATGTTTTAAGTTTCCGGCCTGCAGAATGACTGTAAGTGCCCGTGGCACAGCGGAGCCGTTTTCAAAAAAGCGGTATCCTCGAAAAGCACAACGCCAGGAGGCAATTTTTGTTTGGCTGTGAAGCAGCAGCCATGCTTCTAGGGCTTGGTTCCCCATCCCTGGGATTCTGGAGGTGTTCTAGAAAGAAGGATCCCTAGAAAGAATGGGGAAGGTACCCCTAGAATGCTTGCAAATTTTCTCTTTCCGGGTTCCAAATGATTTTCGAGCATCGATACCTCAATCTCCGACAGCCTTGGGGAAATTTGGCTTTCCGCATTGGATGGCAGCATGCGAGAATGGCATACATTTTGATCGTGGAGTGTCAAGCTTCCTGGATTTATTTCAGAGCTTCTGGATGAGCCATGTGATGCTGAAATACATCCAGGATTCTTGAAGAAGCCTGCAAAACGCGACGGCTTCTTTGCGGCGCATGGGCGTTCGTGTGTGTGTGTGTGTGTGATTTTATGTGCGGTTTTTTCCTTTCTGCGTGTGTGCGTGCGTGTGTTGTGTGTGTGTGTGTGTGTGTCGTGTCGTGTGTGTGTGTGTGTTGTGTCGTGTCGTGTCGTGTCGTGTCGCTTCGTGTCGTGTCGTGTCGTTGTGTTGCGTTGTGTGGTGTCGTGTCGTGTCGTGTCGTGTCGTGTCGTGTCGTGTCGTGTCGTGTCGTGTCGTGTCGTGTCGTGTGGTGTGGTGTGGTGTGGTGTGGTGTGGTGTGGTGTGGTGTGGTGTGGTGTGGTGTGGTGTGGTGTGGTGTGGTGTGGTGTTGCGTTGCGTGCGTGCGTGCGTGGGTGGGTGGGTGGGTGTGTGTGTGTGTGTGTGTGTGCGTGCGTGGGTGTGGGCCCCACAGTGTGGGCGTGGGTGTGGGTGTGTGGGTGTGTGGGTGTGTGGGTGTGTGGGCGTGTGGGTGTGTGGGTGTGTGGGTGTGTGGGCGTGTGGGTGTGTGGGTGTGTGGGTGTGTGGGTGTGTGGGTGTGTGGGTGTGTGGGGGTGGGTGTGTGTCTGTGTGTGTGTCTGTTTGTTTGTTTGTTTGTTTGTTTGTTTGTTTGTTTGTTTGGTTGTTTGTTTGTTTGTTTGTTTGTTTGTTTGTTTGTTTGTTTGTTTGTATATATATATATATATGTTTTCTCCCCATAGGGGTTCTAACTTCTAATAAACAAGGGACAGTTCTTTGCAAGCTTGAAGGCAGGGTGCTAGGGCATGCAGTTTGGGTGCTGGTGTAGGTGCTGTTTTGGGGTGCTGTTTGAGGTGCTGGTGACGGTGCCGGCGCATTTTTGCGAGATTGCCGGCTCGCGCTTTTCTGCTCTCGTAGGATTCAGTGCTTGTCTTTTTCTGGCCGTGAGTGTGTTTGCGCTTTTTGCGTTGGGTTGTGTGTTTGCGTGTTCAATGTGTTCAATGCCCTCATCAGTGGGCCTGAGTTGGCTGTGGGTCAAAAATGGGTACCCACAATGGAACCCTGGTACATGGAAACCAAGACGAACACAGCGTAACCCTAGCTCTTTAATTTTGAGCCACACCCAGCTCTCCTGGCATGGACTGTGAGAAGATGAGGCCGGATCCGTTGTTCTCTGCCCGGCCTCGAGTGCAGAGGCGGAGCGCCCTGGCCTGCCGATGCGAGAAACGCCCGACTGAGATATCAGTGGCAACGGTTTTCCATTGCCTTCCCTACACGAACCACAACATCACCCCCCCCTCACAAAAAAACACACCCGTGCTTTGTTTAAGACTGGTTGCCTTTAGCACCCTCAGATCTTCAACCAGTCAACGATGATCATGAGATGCTATATTTTGAAACTCCAAGAACCGATGATTCGGATTTTCAAGTTTTTGGCTATGGGTCATGGGCAATATCAACAGCTTAGGCGGATTTGACAACCAATCTACAGGGCACCCAAAGAACGCCGAAGAAACGGGGAAAAGATTAAGCCTAGGACATTATCTATACATGTACTACATATCATATTGTAAATACACATATACAGAAAAACAATAATTGGGGTACTCCCTCTGCTACAAATAGTTCTTTCATGTGGTAGACCTGGTACAATGAAACATCACGCAAACGAAACTGCAAACACACTGCAAACATGAACATGGTCCAGTTCCCACAGTGGACACATGCAAACAAACAGCTGTAGCATGCTTTTCTGGATAGAAAGCACCATGCACAAGAGATGTTGCTTCTATCTCTGGCAGTTTTACTTTTCTACTTCTCCCCAGTAGAAGTAAAACAGAAACAACGAAATACGTCCGGCCCATGAAAAGTAGACAAGTAAAACTCCCACAAGTAAATGTGGTTTTTACTTCAGGAAGTCCTACCTATTTTCTTTCCCCACTAAACGTAAACCATGTGCAAAGTAAAGCTTTTGGACGCCGTGACAGCCAACAGTAAAACAGCCAAACGTATTTGCTTTTACTTCAGGGAGGTCTACTTTTCATTTTTACTTTCAACACTCCCAAAAGTGAAACGTTTTCAAACAGTTCCACCTTTCCCCAGAAACTGCCAACAGTAGTCATTGGCCTTATGACGTCAGCCAATGCTACCTCTCACTTCTCATGGGTCCAGCAGTTTTACTTTCACATGCTCTTTTTCTTGAAAACAGGTGAACACAAACATATCTTCTCACTTCTACTGTCTTTCTCTTTTACTCTCATATGTTTTTTCTGGACACACGGCGACACCGCACATCTACTTCCCCACTCCCCGTGTCGCACGAAGCCCTCCGCTTCGCTCGCCCGCGCCTCGCGCTTGGGCGCCGCGAGCTCGCGGCAGCTGGCGGCCAGCTCCTGAGCAGCTCAGTGGTTGGATTTCAAACAGGGATCCTCTTCCTATTCAACCAGGAGGGTAAAAGATGTGTCCCAACCATGGAAATGGGGATGAACATGATGAACCCCAGATTCTTGGAACAAAACAAAGAGCAAAGAGAAAAACGGAGAGAAGCAAGCAACACAGAGGTTCCTCAATCAAAACTGAGTTGGTCCAAAGTATTGAGTTTCGGATTGGTTTTCGAAACTCACAAGAAAAGCGGAGAAGAAACAAAAGAAAACCAGAGTCTTGGAGCAAAAGCAAAGAACAACATGTTGTGTTTTTCACAAGTTGAAACCATCCTGAAGGCTTGCTATGTCATGTTTTGTTTATTGTCCACCTGTGTCTCAAAATTAGGAGACTGCCCAAAACGACGATGTTCTGTCTTTGGTTCCTTGTAAAACAACCAACAAGGGCACCCTCAAAAAACGGACCCCATTGTTTGTGGGTCTGCCCTTTGAGGGGGGTGCCTATCCCATCACATGATTCTTAGATCATGGTAAGGGTGGCAGGCAGTTGGCAACCGAAAATTATGCACCCGAACCTGACCACCCGGGAGAAAAGGTCGACAGTTCAAATGGTGTTGTTTTCTTGAGCAAGACCTGCTGACCCGAATGTTCGGGAGTCGAAACGGGCGATGGGCATAGGTTCCGCGGAAACCAGATCCAGTCTCTAAACAACCTGATATGGTTGCTGGTGCTGGCAGCAAAATCGGCGATCGGTTGAAAGTCCAGCAGCAGCAACACCTACAGTTGCAGATGCCCAAGTTAGCAATACATCTGTTGTGGACAAGGACTCCTGGGGGCACTTGCAAAGCAGCCCGCAGAGGATTGAAAGTGACCAATCTGCGCTGTCAGCTTGGCGTGACACCGCCGAATCCACAGAAGAGAAATCAGCAGCAACGCCTTTACCAAGCAGTCACTGCATGCCCAACTGCCCAAAATGCCAAAACAGGTCCAGCACGCCAGGCACGCCGGGCATGCCACATGCCAGCAAGTTCTCTCCAAACTCTCCGGATGAATGCTCACGTCATGCATGCTCAACTCAGACACAGCTGTCACAATGACGTCATGCGTTATCATCCCGGCCCGCTAAATCACCAAGCCGCGCTCGCTGCAGCATACCAGCCGGTCGGACTAGCAATACACCTGTTGTGGACAAGGACTCCTCCTGGGGGCACTTGCAAAGCAGCCCGCAGAGGATTGAAAGTGACCAATCTGCGCTGTCAGCTTGGCGTGACACCGCCGAATCCACAGAAGAGAAATCAGCAGCAACGCCTTTACCAAGCAGTCACTGCATGCCCAACTGCCCAAAATGCCAAAACAGGTCCAGCACGCCAGGCACGCCGGGCATGCCACATGCCAGCAAGTTCTCTCCAAACTCTCCGGATGAATGCTCACGTCATGCATGCTCAACTCAGACACAGCTGTCACAATGACGTCATGCGTTATCATCCCGGCCCGCTAAATCACCAAGCCGCGCTCGCTGCAGCATACCAGCCGGTCGGACTAGCAATACACCTGTTGTGGACAAGGACTCCTCCTGGGGGCACTTGCAAAGCAGCCCGCAGAGGATTGAAAGTGACCAACCTGCGCTGTCAGCTTGGCGTGACACCGCCGAATCCACAGAAGAGAAATCAGCAGCAACGCCTTTACCAAGCAGTCACTGCATGCCCAACTGCCCAAAATGCCAAAACAGGTCCAGCACGCCAGGCACGCCGGGCATGCCACATGCCAGCAAGTTCTCTCCAAACTCTCCGGATGAATGCTAACGTCATGCATGCTCAACTCAGACACAGCTGTCACAATGCTGTCATACGTTATCATCCCAGGCCCCCAAATCACCAAGCCACGCTCGCTGCAGCATACCAGCCGGTCGGATTAGCAATACACCTGTTGTGGACAAGGACTCCTCCCGGGGGCACTTGCAAAGCAGCCCGCAGAGGATTGAAAGTGACCAACCTGCGCTGTCAGCTTGGCGTGACACCGCCGAATCCACAAAAGAGAAATCAGCAGCAACGCCTTTACCAAGCAGTCTCTGCATGCCCAACTGCCCAAAATGCCAAAACAGGTCCAGCACGCCAGGCACGCTGGGCATGCCACATGCCAGCAAGTTCTCTCCAAACTCTCTAGATGTGCTAACGTCATGCATGCTCAACTCAGACACAGCTGTCACAATGCTGTCATACGTTATCATCCCAGGCCCCCAAATCACCAAGCCACGCTCGCTGCGGGATACCAGCCGGTCGGACTAGCAATACACCTGTTGTGGACAAGGACTCCTCCCGGGGGCACTTACAAAGCAGCCCGCAGAGGATTGAAAGTGACCAACCTGCGCTGTCAGCTTGGCGTGACACCGCCGAATCCACAAAAGAGAAATCAGCAGCAACGCCTTTACCAAGCAGTCTCTGCATGCCTGACTGCCCAAAATGCCAAAACAGGTCCAGCACGCCAGGCACGCTGGGTATTCCACATGCCAGCAAGTTCTCTCCAAACTCTTCGGATGAATGCTAACGTCATGCGTGCTTAACTCGCACACAGCTGTCACCATGCTGTCATGCGTTATCATCCCGGCCCGCTAAATCACCAAGCCACGCTCGCTGCAGCATACTAGCCGGTCGGATTAGCAATACATCTGTTGTGGACAAGGACTCCTCCCGGGGGCACTTGCAAAGCAGCCCGCAGAGGATTGAAAGTGACCAACCTGCGCTGTCAGCTTGGCGTGACACCGCCGAATCCACAAAAAAGAAATCAGCAGCAACGCCTTTACCAAGCAGTCTCTGCATGCCCAACTGCCCAAAATGCCAAAACAGGTCCAGCACGCCAGGCACGCTGGGTATGCCACATGCCAGCAAGTTCTCTCCAAGCTCTCCTGATGAATGCTAACGTCATGCATGCTCAACTCAGACACAGCTGTCACAATGCTGTCATACGTTATCATCCCAGGCCCCCAAATCACCAAGCCACGCTCGCTGCGGGATACCAGCCGGTCGGACTAGCAATACATCTGTTGTGGACAAGGACTCCTCCCGGGGGCACTTGCAAAGCAACCCGCAGAGGATTGAAAGTGACCAACCTGCGCTGTCAGCTTGGCGTGACACCGCCGAATCCACAAAAGAGAAATCAGCAGCAACGCCTTTACCAAGCAGTCTCTGCATGCCCAACTGCCCAAAATGCCAAAACAGGTCCAGCACGCCAGGCACGCTGGGCATGCCACATGCCAGCAAGTTCTAACGTCATGCATGCTCAACTCAGACACAGCTGTCGCAATGCCGTCATACTTTATCATCCCGGCCCCCCAAATTACCAAGCCACGCTCGCTGCAGCATACCAGCCGGTCGGACTAGCAATACATCTGTTGTGGACAAGGACTCCTCCCGGGGGCACTTGCAAAGCAGCCCGCAGAGGATTGAAAGTGACCAACCTGCGCTGTCAGCTTGGCGTGACACCGCCGAATCCACAAAAGAGAAATCAGCAGCAACGCCTTTACCAAGCAGTCTCTGCATGCCCAACTGCCCAAAATGCCAAAACAGGTCCAGCACGCCAGGCACGCTGGGTATGCCACATGCCAGCAAGTTCTCTCCAAACTCTCCGGATGAATGCTAACGTCATGCATGCTCAACTCAGACACAGCTGTCACAATGCTGTCATACGTTATCATCCCAGGCCCCCAAATCACCAAGCCACGCTCGCTGCGGGATACCAGCCGGTCGGACTAGCAAAACACCTGTTGTGGACAAGGACTCCTCCCGGGGGCACTTGCAAAGCAGCCCGCAGAGGATTGAAAGTGACCAATCTGCGCTGTCAGCTTGGCGTGACACCGCCGAATCCACAAAAGAGAAATCAGCAGCAACGCCTTTACCAAGCAGTCTCTGCATGCCCAACTGCCCAAAATGCCAGAACAGGTCCAGCACGCCAGGCACACTGGGCATGCCACATGCCAGCAAGTTCTCTCCAAACTCTCCGGATGAACTCTCTCCGTCATGCATGCTCAACTCAGACACAGCTGTCGCAATGCTGTCATGCGTTATCTGCCCGGCATACCAGCCGGTCGGACTAGCAATACATCTGTTGTGGACAAGGACTCCTCCCGGGGGCACTTGCAAAGCAGCCCGCAGAGGATTGAAAGTGACCAACCAGCGCTGTCAGCTTGGCGTGACACCGCCGAATCCACAAAAGAGAAATCAGCAGCAACGCCTTTACCAAGCAGTCTCTGCATGCCCAACTGCCCAAAATGCCAAAACAGGTCCAGCACGCCAGGCACGCTGGGTATGCCACATGCCAGCAAGTTCTCTCCAAACTCTCCGGATGAATGCTAACGTCATGCATGCTCAACTCAGACACAGCTGTCACAATGCTGTCATACGGTATCATCCCAGGCCCCCCAAATGACCAAGCCACGCTCGCTGCAGCATACCAGCCGGTCGGACTAGCAATACACCTGTTGTGGACAAGGACTCCTCCCGGGGGCACTTGCACAGCAGCCCGCAGAGGATTGAAAGTGACCAACCTGCGCTGTTAGCTTGGCGTGACACCGCCGAATCCACAAAAGAGAAATCAGCAGCAACGCCTTTACCAAGCAGTCTCTGCATGCCCAACTGCCCAAAATGCCAAAACAGGTCCAGCACGCCAGGCACGCTGGGCATGCCACATGCCAGCAAGTTCTCTCCAAACTCTCCGGATGAATGCTCACGTCATGCATGCTCAACTCAGACACAGCTGTCACAATGCTGTCATACGTTATCATCCCGGGCCCCCAAATGACCAAGCCACGCTCGCTGCAGCATACCAGCCGGTCGGACTAGCAATACACCTGTTGTGGACAAGGACTCCTCCCGGGGGCACTTGCAAAGCAGCCCGCAGAGGATTGAAAGTGACCAACCTGCGCTGTCAGCTTGGCGTGACACCGCCGAATCCACAAAAAAGAAATCAGCAGCAACGCCTTTACCAAGCAGTCTCTGCATTCCCAACTGCCCAAAATGCCAGAACAGGTCCAGCACGCCAGGCACGCTGGGTATGCCACATGCCAGCAAGTTCTCTCCAAACTCTCCGGATGAATGCTAACGTCATGCATGCTCAACTCAGACACAGCTGTCACAATGCTGTCATGCGTTATCATCCCGGCCCGCTAAATCACCAAGCCAAGCTCGCTGCAGCATACCAGCCGGTCGGATTAGCAATACATCTGTTGTGGACAAGGACTCCTCCCGGGGGCACTTGCAAAGCAGCCCGCAGAGGATTGAAAGTGACCAACCTGCGCTGTCAGCTTGGCGTGACACCGCCGAATCCACAAAAGAGAAATCAGCAGCAACGCCTTTACCAAGCAGTCTCTGCATGCCCAACTGCCCAAAATGCCAAAACAGGTCCAGCACGCCAGGCACGCTGGGCATGCCACATGCCAGCAAGTTCTCTCCAAACTCTCTAGATGTGCTAACGTCATGCATGCTCAACTCAGACACAGCTGTCGCAATGCCGTCATACTTTATCATGCCGGCCCCTCAAATTACCAAGCCACGCTCGCTGCAGCATACCAGCCGGTCGGACTAGCAATACATCTGTTGTGGACAAGGACTCCTCCCGGGGGCACTTGCAAAGCAGCCCGCAGAGGATTGAAAGTGACGAACCTGCGCTGTCAGCTTGGCGTGACACCGCCGAATCCACAAAAGAGAAATCAGCAGCAACGCCTTTACCAAGCAGTCTCTGCATGCCCAACTGCCCAAAATGCCAAAACAGGTCCAGCATGCCAGGCACGCTGGGTATGCCACATGCCAGCAAGTTCTCTCCAAACTCTCCGGATAAATGCTAACGTCATGCATGCTCAACTCAGACACAGCTGTCACAATGCTGTCATACGTTATCATCCCGGCTCGCTAAATCACCAAGCCACGTTCGCTGCAGCATACTAGCCGGTCGGATTAGCAATACATCTGTTGTGGACAAGGACTCCTCCCGGGGGCACTTGCAAAGCAGCCCGCAGAGGATTGAAAGTGACCAACCTGCGCTGTCAGCTTGGCGTGACACCGCCGAATCCACAAAAGAGAAATCAGCAGCAACGCCTTTACCAAGCAGTCTCTGCATGCCCAACTGCCCAAAATGCCAAAACAGGTCCAGCACGCCAGGCACGCTGGGTATGCCACGTGCCAGCAAGTTCTCTCCAAACTTTCCGGATGAATGCTAACGTCATGCATGCTCAACTCAGACACAGCTGTCACAATGCTGTCATACGTTATCATCCCGGGCCCCCAAATGACCAAGCCACGCTCGCTGCAGCATACCAGCCGGTCGGACTAGCAATACACCTGTTGTGGACAACGACTCCTCCCGGGGGCACTTGCAAAGCAGCCCGCAGAGGATTGAAAGTGACCAACCAGCGCTGTCAGCTTGGCGTGACACCGCCGAATCCACAAAAGAGAAATCAGCAGCAACGCCTTTACCAAGCAGTCTCTGCATGCCCAACTGCCCAAAATGCCAAAACAGGGCCAGCACGCCAGGCACGCTGGGTATGCCACATGCCAGCAAGTTCTCTCCAAACTCTCCGGATGAATGCTAACATCATGCATGCTCAACTCAGACACAGCTGTCACAATGCCGTCATACGTTATCATTCCGGGCCCCCAAATCACCAAGCCCTAGCCATACACCTGTTGTGGACAAGGACTCCTCCCGGGGGCACTTGCAAAGCAGCCCGCAGAGGATTGAAAGTGACCAACCAGCGCTGTCAGCTTGGCGTGACACCGCCGAATCCACAAAAGAGAAATCAGCAGCAACGCCTTTACCAAGCAGTCTCTGCATGCCCAACTGCCCAAAATGCCAAAACAGGTCCAGCACGCCAGGCACGCTGGGTATGCCACGTGCCAGCAAGTTCTCTCCAAACTCTCCGGATGAATGCTAACGTCATGCATGCTCAACTCAGACACAGCTGTCACAATGCTGTCACACGTTATCATTCCGGGCCCCCAAATCACCAAGCCCTAGCAATACACCTGTTGTGGACAAGGACTCCTCCCGGGGGCACTTGCAAAGCAGCCCGCAGAGGATTGAAAGTGACCAACCAGCGCTGTCAGCTTGGCGTGACACCGCCGAATCCACAAAAGAGAAATCAGCAGCAACGCCTTTACCAAGCAGTCTCTGCATGCCCAACTGCCCAAAATGCCAAAACAGGTCCAGCACGCCAGGCACGCTGGGTATGCCACATGCCAGCAAGTTCTCTCCAAACTCTCCGGATGAATGCTAACATCATGCATGCTCAACTCAGACACAGCTGTCACAATGCCGTCATACGTTATCATTCCGGGCCCCCAAATCACCAAGCCCTAGCCATACACCTGTTGTGGACAAGGACTCCTCCCGGGGGCACTTGCAAAGCAGCCCGCAGAGGATTGAAAGTGACCAACCAGCGCTGTCAGCTTGGCGTGACACCGCCGAATCCACAAAAGAGAAATCAGCAGCAACGCCTTTACCAAGCAGTCTCTGCATGCCCAACTGCCCAAAATGCCAAAACAGGTCCAGCACGCCAGGCACGCTGGGTATGCCACGTGCCAGCAAGTTCTCTCCAAACTCTCCGGATGAATGCTAACGTCATGCATGCTCAACTCAGACACAGCTGTCACAATGCTGTCACACGTTATCATTCCGGGCCCCCAAATCACCAAGCCCTAGCAATACACCTGTTGTGGACAAGGACTCCTCCCGGGGGCACTTGCAAAGCAGCCCGCAGAGGATTGAAAGTGACCAACCAGCGCTGTCAGCTTGGCGTGACACCGCCGAATCCACAAAAGAGAAATCAGCAGCAACGCCTTTACCAAGCAGTCTCTGCATGCCCAACTGCCCAAAATGCCAAAACAGGTCCAGCACGCCAGGCACGTCGGGCATGCCACATGGCAGCAAGTTTTCTCCCAACACCTCGCATAAACAACATACAGGACGCATGCCCAACTCAGGCATCGCTGCCATAATGATGCCACTCTTACCCGAACCAGGCCAGTTCGAAGAATGCAGACGGCACAACCCGAAGATGTGAAGCTCGCCTCGCCAGCCATGTCCAAGTCATCTATAACCCCGATGAAGACAGTTTGCCTCTCGCATACCGAGATGGTTTGCTGATCTGGGTGGTGGGTAGGCAAATGCCGAAAACAAGGGGCAATCGTGAATGACCCTCACAAGGCTCAAACATCGCAAGATTCAATGCTTGACCATTCCAAATGACCTTCAAGGGTCTGCCCCAGGATTTCTTCTCTGCGGCTCGGCAGCATCTCGTAACCCAAGTTGGCTCCTGCGATGCCTGCGTCATGGCCTGAACGAAGCAAGGCCACGAACCAGGCGTCCCGAAACAACTTCAAACACTCTGAAGTTGAGGTTCCTTCATTTCCCCCAGGTACAAGCACGGAACTGTCAGAAGGCCCGTGAAACCGCTTTCCTCGGGGTAGGTTGAAGCGATGCCTTGTGCGACTTGCGGAGGTTCCTTTCTCGTCCCACTGGTCCACTCTTTATGCGCTTTGTTATCCAATAACAAGCAAATAACTGCACCATTGCTTCATTGCGTGTTTTGGACAAGCCTGCCCTTGATATACTACATACTGTATTAGATATCGCCTGCAGGAATTGTGCAAGTCCACAAGGAAAGGGGCATTTTCGCACCAACAAGCCGCCATGCGTCCTTTTGGCCAACCGTCTGTTGCTTCATGCTGAAATCCGCCTAAAGGACAAATGTGCCCGTGTAGCTCGACCCGTGGCGTGTCGGGCGGCCTTCCTGTCTCCTGACCCGCGACGCAGGCTGCCCGTTTAGAGGATTGCAGGGACCTGTGGCCTGATATGGCTATGGGTCAAAACCCTGTACCCCCAGTGAACATCCCAATCCCCACTAAAATAGACTAAAATGGGTGGTGCACCTACCCCAAAATGGTACCATTGATGTTGACCCACGGCCATATGGACGAGGGAGTCGACCAATTGGGAGATCTGCGTATCATGGCGACGTGTCTCCTTCAGACATCTCCTTCACGGAGGATTTGACCCATTGGGACTGCAAAACGAACAAACATGGATTGGCCTTCCAAACGACCCATTCTGAAATTTCAAGGTGCCGGGTACGGCCGCGGGGACGCCACGGAGGGCGCTTTTCTTTGGAGAGACGAGCATGACGCGATTCTGCTGGAAAACGGCAGCAACCCCGATGTTCGGTGGGCCCGGGCGCCACAAAACATATGCTGGCCCGCCTCAAAGTCGCCCTCTTGCCTGCAAGCCCTGCGATCGCGCGATCTCACGCCAGGAAGCGAATGGCGGGGTGGCTGGGTGGCTGGGGGTGGGTGGGTGGGGGGTACTGAAAGGAGCCTTCGTTGAAACTTGGAACAAGCTCAGCCTACTTCGATGCGCACCGCAACTCACGGAACGGATGGCGGGTCCCGCCATCCGCGTGGTTTGTGTGGAGAATCCGAGGAGAATCTTCAGCCGGATTCTTCTTCTGGGTGAATTATACTAGTTCACCAACCTGAAATAAGGTGGTGGGGCAATTCCCCACACAAACCACCAGTTGGGGTGAATTCGGTCGTGTGAGGTCGTTGTGATTCACCCAACTTCTTGGAGATCTCCGAAAGTCTTTCGCTGGCAGCCGCTGGAAAGGTTTTCTATTTTTTTCTTCTCCGGGGTGTCGAATGTCGGACTCCGGCCAGCGGAGAAACACTGGGTCTAGCCACACTTGCTTAGTGGCCATGGGACACAGGGGTTGATTTCCAAGCAAAAAAAACAACAACTAGGTCCTCCAGTAGAGATGGTAGAACAAGGGTTAGTAGGGGACCCCTCCCCCAAAAAAGGGTGAAAGGGCGCTACTGGGGACCTAGTCAATGAACCTCTGGTTGATTCGTAATGGGTGTCCTATTTCAGATAGAAGCCTTCACTTCTGCCCCCCCCCCCCGGGGTTGTTATTCTTTTCCGGAGTCGACATTCAAGGAAACCACCCAACAAGCAGAATGCCGATATCATATCTTTACAATGACTAGCAGAGTTCCTATGGAAGACGATACTCCCCGGTCCTTTCAACCCAGCACAATCAGGAATTCGAACAAAACTTCGGAGGGATGGCCAGGGCAACTCATGACTCTCAAAGCTGCAGATGGCATTTTTTGTCTTTGGCCAGCCCCGGCTCCGGCTGCTGCAGTGACTCAAAGTTCAAAGCTCCGCGAGCTCCGACTCAGAGCAGTTGCGCATCCAGTCAAACCGCTCCCGAGCCCAGTAGCGCGGCTGATAGAGCAAGATGTCGCGGAAGCGCGGGTGCAGCGGGAAAACGGCCGGCGCCGCTTTGACGGCTTCTGGCGGATAAGCAATGGGGAACAACAAGCTGTCCGAGATTGGCCTACACTCTGCGGGTAGGTGGCTGGCATGAGGAATCCTGGGATGCCCAAGAGCAAGCCACGTGCTTTGTGAGGGCGGCTGATTCTAAGCTGGGAAATCCACCCTGCAGATGGATTTAAAGGGAAACAAAGGAAGAACAAGAAAGCCAAACAGGGCAATGTGCACCACTCAGGTTTGCCTCAAAATGGGGGACCCTGAAAAAGGTGGTTTTTCTTTTGGTTTCCCCAAAAAGGGTAGCTTCACAAAAAGACCACCCCCCCACTCGGCAGGGATCTTGTCCACGGTCTCCGTGACGGCCCCTGCGAAGCGGTAGTCAGCGGGCAGGTAACGCAGACTGCCAGCGCGGCGCCTCGGGGTCTCCTGGCCACTGACCCTTTTGGCAAGGCTTATGCTAGGCCCCTGCAAACCGTTTTCACTTTTTTCAGCTTCCCTTGAAGCCCCCCCATTGGTCCTGAAGCAGGTTCAATCACCAAGCCACCAAGCCAACCAATTGCGGCTCTTTGAAAGCTTTCGTTTGCCCTCAAGCAGGGGGGTCAAATCACCAAACCAATCCAAACCAACCAACTGCGAGGTACCTTACTTTTGCTGGTCGAAAGGGAAAACAGACCGGAACACAAGGGCAAATCCAAAAAAGGCGAGTCAAGACTGGTAATGAAAAAGAACACACTCCTTTTTCCCGCGCTTTCTCGCTAGTGACGGGGCGGAGCCCCAAACCGTCGTTGCTTTTCATGTTCCTGTGCGAATTTCCAGCGCTGAATCTCCTTTGGCGTTGGTGGGTCTAGGCCGACAAGACAGGAAATGGGCACCACTAGTCTCTTGGCAACCACATCTGTACTCCAAATGTTTCATATGTTTGTCTACCCTAGAAAATATAAATCGCTTTGGAGACCTAAGTCTCCGTCTCGACCATGTTGTAGTGGAAAAGCTGGTTGTAGAAAATCACCACGTCTCCAGCTTGCAAGTGCCAGGATCGCACAGACTCCGCGCCCAGCTCCTGGGAAAGAAGCCACTTGGCCGCCTCTGGTTGCTTAGAAACAAGGTTCTTTAACCTTCAAATGGGCTGCTTTAACCCCGCCTGAGCAAAAGGTCGGTCATCCTTCGCTTGAATGGAAAAGCCACATTTGTGTTTCCCAAGCAGATCTCCTTGAGGCCTGAAAGGTCACAAGACCGGCCACACTAAATGGGGTTCATCACCAACTTATAACCAAGTGTGGCGGCCAAGTACCGCAATAAACAATGGTTTCCGTAGTGACCGAAGATCGGCGAGGGAACTCGGGCCAGTCTTGTACACTTGCAGTCAGTTAGAAGCCTTTAAGTCTCCTAACCTTGCTCAGCGTGTTGACGCCTAAGAGAAGATAGAGAATACCCCCCCCCAAAACATGTCAAATACGGGGGGTCCCCCACGTGCCGAAAAATAGTCTTCGGCGAGCCAGTGTGGCAAAACAGTGGTCCAGGCTCGAATCCCCGTGCCGGCTCTTTGCTGGTTCGGGTGTTCCGCCTCCTTTTGCCGAAAACCTGGAAAACAACATCGTATTTTCGACCTCCGTTTTGCGAAAACGTTGAACACTACCTTTTTGTTTCTCGGAAAAAATACCGGGGAACGAGGGGGAAATGCAAGGGAAGCGCAGGGAAAATGAAGGGCGGGAAATGAAGGGAAATGAAAGGACATGCAGGGGACAGGAAGTGGAAATGAAAGCAGGGGGAACTGAAAGGGAAACGAAGGGGAACTGAAACGGAAGTGAAGGGGAAAGGAATGAGAAATGCAGGGGGAGTGAAGGGGGAATGAAACGGAAACAAAGGACGAGGATACCAAAGCACACGAAGGGAGATGTAGGGAAATTATTGGCAATGAAAGGGACATGCATGGGAAATGAAGCGGACATACCGAGCAAAAGATAGGGAAATGAAGCGGGAATTGAAAGGAAAGGAAAGGAACGGGACATGACGAGAAAATAATAGGAAATGCCGGGACATGAAAAGAACATCAAGTGGAAATCAAGGGGAAAGCCAGTAGTAAGAAGACAATTCAGTGGTCATGATGAGCAGTGCACAGAAATCGAGGCAACTCAGGGGGACATGGCAAACAGAGACAGAGACTGAGACAGAGACAGAGAAGAGGGAAAGAAAGAGGGAGAGAGCGAGAGAGCCAAAGAGAGAGAGAGAGAGAGAGAGAGAGAGGGACAGAGAGAGAGAGAGAGAGAGAGAGAGAGAGAGAGAGAGAGAGAGAGACAGGGACAAACAGAGAGAGAGAGAGAGAGAGAGAGAGAGGGAGGGAGGGAGGGAGGGAGGGAGGGAGGGAGGGAGAGAGAGAGAGAGAGAGAGAGAGGATGGGGAGGAGAAAGCAGGGAACAAAGGGGGGAAGGGAAAAGAGAGAGAGGAAGAGGGAGAAAAGGGAGAGGCCAAAGTGAAAACGCCTGGCTCTTTCAGCTCCCTTTCAACACCGGAAGAGGGGATGCCAACCATTGTCTGTCTTTTGCGGATTACCCTTCTTGGGTTGGTTGTTAAAGGGACAACAACAGCACGCCCCCGCCATTTGGGGGGGCCCAAACGCAGACGCCCATCTTGAGACACACCCCGCTCGAAAAGCGCCAAGCACCAGGCAGTCGTCCCGGCTCCTGGGTCAAGTTGTCGGCGAGCTGAACCAGGCAGTCGTCCCGGGGGTACACGTCGCTGTAGCCGCACTCGTGCTTGGCCGCGTGTGACCCGGCGAGGAAGCCGATGGAGTGGTGCGCCTGCGGCGCAATCAGAAACCCACAAGGAATCACATTCAGAGCAGCGCAGCAAGAAAATGAATGACATGAATCACATGAAGCAAATGAAGAACAGGAAAAACAGAAGAAGAAAAAGAAGAGGACAACGGAGACGAAGAGGAAACAACTAATGCTAAACATCATAATGATGATAACAGTAGCAAAAAAGAAGAAGACGGAGCCGAAAGCAGGGGATTTGCAACCACACGCCGCTGCAACGGGGGGGGGGAACACGCCGCTGCACCATCCATGTTGGACAAGTACTTAGCAAGCAGTGCGATCACGCAACCGCATCCGCCTCCGTCATTGCGAACCAGATCGATACGAAGGGCAGTACCTCCCCATAGGTGTCGCCATCCAGATCCATGTGAGGAGCGTCGCACTTGGAGAAGCTGTTCCTCTCCTGCTCCGTCTGCCCGCAGTCCTTGGTTGACGTTGGAAGGGGAGCAAACATGTAGAATGTTAGCAGTTCAGTGGTTGGATTTCAACCACTAAACCACAATAAGCAAAAATGCAAAATGTTTCCCAACAACAACCCATGAGTCCGCGGGATTCTCCATCAGGTGCTTGTTGAAGAACTGGCCAGACCAGACCCGCACCGGCTGGCGGCCTAGCACTTGCGAGGCCAGGCTGGGAATGGGACCGTGCGTGCCCAGGGCCATGAGGCTACCGTGGCAGCTCAGAAAGTCTGTGGCGTACATGGTGTCATTCCTCAGCTGCCCAGTAACTTTCCACGGGAAAAAAAGGATGGGCATCCGATTTTTTTTGGGTTGGCCGACCTTAAAGGAATCGGAACCAACCCTTCCCCCAAAAAAGGTTGAACAAAGTAACGCTGCCACTGGGGCAACTGAGATTCGAAGTGCTCTTCAGCCTCTCCAGCACCTCCTCGCTGAGAACCTTCTCTACCACCAGCACGCCATCCCGATGGAAGGCCTTGATCTGCGACTCTGCGAGCACGGCCGCCGGCAGCGCATCCAGGGTCTGGAGAAAGTCCGCCTCGATGGGCTTCGACGAGCAGATGGCTTTGAAGCCTATCCAGACCTTGCCAGTCTCAAAAATTGCAAGCAGCACCTCAGTTGCCAAGGAACCAGTTCGGACCCTGCAGGTGATGACCAATTGGTTGAATTTGACTTCTTTATGGACCATGGGAAAACCAACAGGTCAAAAGGTCGATTCGCTCAGAACAACTGGGCCACAGCGAGGACTGCGAGGATTGCAATGCACCGCCCGCAGCGCATCGTGCTCAGTGACCCATTGGGAGCAAACTAAAAACAGCTCGAGCCGAGCGCACAAAAATGTCTTACTTCATCAACCAGCTTCCCTCTAATTGGTGCTTTGGAGCCGCTGGGATTTGAACCGTTCCTCTTGAAACGGGCAGTATTCTGGCAACCAGCAAGACAGCTGTCCTCAAACGATCATGCTGCACACCTCACTTTCAACACTGCAAAACGCATAGAACAGAATTTCTCACCCAGCTTAGGAGCCAAACTTTTGCTGAAACCAAATGGGGTTAGCCAGCCCCGAACCTCCAAACCATAATTCGGGGTGCCTGAATCGAAGGCCTGGTTGTGGTCCTAGTCATAGGTGGCCTTTTGGAAAAATAGATGGCCCTGGTAAATGGAATAAAACCCATCCAAACCAGTCCCATCTTAGCCAAACTAACCTAAAAAGGGACACCTATGGTCCTAGTGCTTTTTCCCTGTTTTGTTTTTCTCTAACTTGCGGTTTGTGTTCTAGGGGTGCCCCTTTTAGTTGGATGCCCCGCTTCCAATGGACATCCCCGAATCATTGGGGGATACTGCTCTTGTTTCACACGGCACCCCCAAAGCCACACTTTATCGGACAAAAGTGGGTCAATGTACAATTCCAAAGATTAATCCGGATCATAAATAACAGATTCCTAAGCCGTTCTGATGACATATTTCTACTAGTGAATGAACTAATATAGTGACATAACAAGTAGAAATCATATAAGTCGAGAGGTTCAATATGCGTCATCTTTGCCATCCTCATCTTGGAAGCTTTCCATAGCAGAAACAACCTTGAGGAATAGACAGAGTGAAGTGGCGTGATGAATAGAACCATATTCAGCTTTTATTTTTTTACCAGCCAGGCTGTTACCATTGAAGAATGGGATCGCCATCATGTCAAGTTCCCGTGAAGTATTATGAAGAAAGAGATACAGCATATACATGGCTCACAGATTCAGCCCGCCAAGCCACCCTTTAATCGGACAACACACACACACACAACTTCCATTTGCTTAAGCCCCCTGGAAAAACATCAACACATATGTCCTGTAGTGTTAGATGGCTTCGCTTTAAAATTCAGTTCACGGGCCGGAACGACACATATTCGTTTCAGCAATAGTGCCAGATTCCCCTTTAATTCCTCAATGGGACCAAACAAAACACCAACACATATCCATGTCAGCAAATGGAAGTCCACACATTCGCCTTTTGTGGGACGGTCCGTCCTTTTGTGGGACCCCCCAAAAGGGGCTCTCTCTTCAAAAACCCCCGCCGGCTTCACCCGCGGAACCGATCTGAGGCTTTGGCTCCACCAGCAGCTCGAGCGCCGCGGCCTCCGCACGTTTTCGGCCGCCGCGGGTTTGGGGCCGTGCGAAGGCGCCCCGTTGGCCCCCCCCCGGGCCGTTTTGGGCGGTCCGTTGTCCTCTTTTTGGATCGAACACATGTGGTTCGTTTTTTTTGTGGGTGAAGATCTTTTTTTTTGGTGTGGGTGAAGTTCGGGGAAATATCCGCTCGACCGAAAGCTAGAAGGAGAGGGAACCGGATGGCTGGGAACCAACAATTTGTTTGGACACGGATCAACGGGTGTTTCTCAAAAGAAGGAAGCCCTTCGCTTTACATACCAACCAGCAAAGGGCTCATTTTGGGAAGCTCGCGACTGCTTTGGTTGCGGGGGCTGCTTGAAGGGGGGGGGTGGCGGGGCGGGCACTTAGAAAGTGGTTTGTTTCCCTAGTCCAGGGATCCCACCCCGTGCAAAACCTTTTGACTTTTGCTGGCTCTGAAGGCTCAAAGGGAAAAAGGCTACCTGAAGCCATGACAATACTATGCCGGTATGGGCAGCCTGGTCCGAACATCAGAGTTTTGCAAGGGCGAAGGGAAGATCTGGAGGCATGCGACAGCGCAGCAAGGACGGCCTCGGAGCGCAGCAAGCCCTGGGAGGGTGCTCATTTGCCCGGCCAAGGATGCACCTACAAATCTTGTGGTACATGTAGAAACCTTTGAAACGGCAAGGCGGTTGTGATTTGGCCCCCTGAAAGAAAAACACACATATTTACAGTAGTGATAGATTCCCTTTAAAACCAACCAGGGAAAAACAACCACATGATTTTAAGCACGTGGACGTTTTAAGGAACACATGTCCGCATGCAAATTTTGGGACCTGTATCGACAGCATCTCCTTTGCCTGGCTCTCGCACTTCTGCGTCCGCAGGCGCCCCGCGAGGTTTCGCCTCAGAAGGGCGGCATGGTTCAGCTGTCCGTTTTCAGATCGCCTGCAAACCCGTTTTTTTTTGTGGGTTACCCTCCCGCCAATTAACATGGAACCTGAGGTTCCGGGCTCCCGAAGGAAAACGGTCCAAACCGGGAAGCCCCGAACGTCAGGTTCCATGTTAATTGGTTGGAGGGGAAATGGACACTGCCGCGAAATCCTAGGCGAAGAGTCTCAGGAACCGGATGGCTGGGATGGGAGCCACCGAGGTATTGCTTTTCTCAGTTCAGTGACCCTGGAAAAAAGGGAACCCTTTTTGGGAAGACCATTTTTAGTGGGGCAGCCACCGAAAAAAACAAGGGAAAAAGGGTGCCACTGAACAACTGAGTTTTCAATTGGGTAAGACAACCGCAAAAAAAACTGATCGGCCCTGTGCTCGATCGCAAACAGCTGAAACTTGGGTTCCAACATGTTCTAGGTTTTCCAGTAGCGAGGCTGGAAAGGGTACCAATCACCCATAAAAGGGTAGAAAAGGCACTACTGGGGGACCTAGTGTTGGAGCCAGCGTTGTCACATCCAGTCCTTCCAAATCCTTGGGTTACCGTTCCAGCGGGCCGGCAGGCGAGGACTCAAAGACCCGAGCGTGTGCAAACCGATGGTGAGATGGTGAGATGGGGAGATGGGAGGGATGGTTCTGTTGGCTGCAAAGCCCTACAAATGCCATCCATCCATCCATCCATATCCATATCCATATCCATATCCATATCCATATCCATATCCATATCCACATCCATATCCACATCCATCCATCCATCTCCATCTCCATCTCCATCTCCATCTCCATCTCCATCTCCATCTCCATCTCCATCTCCATCTCCATCTCCATCTCCATCTCCATCTCCATCCATCCATTGAGCATTTCCCATTGGTTTCAAGAAGTGACCCAAGCGGCCGGCTGGACATCTAAGCCCCCCCCCCAAAACAAGGAAGGCCTTTTTGCATAAGGGACAGCTGGCTCTCCCCAGCTGGCTCTTCCCTGGCTTCTTTTGATCTAGCAACCTGCTCCAAGCCACCCCTTCCAAATCAGTGGCCCTAGAACAACGGGAACCTGTCTCGATTCCAATTTGAGAGAGTTCCGCACGAAGACATGTTGGAGTTGGAACTCGGTGGTTTTTCCCTTCACTTCCTCGCAAAAAACATGGAAGGGGGCGGAACATTGCGGTATCTGACTAAGAGGGCGCCACTGAGCAACTGGCTTCCGCCTTCCCCCCCTTTCCCTCCATGGCAATTCTCAACTCAGCGGAGCCTAAAGGAGAACAAGGCAGGAGGCAAGTTGTTTTATGTCGACTGATTCATTCACCCTCCCACATGGCTCTGGCTCAAAAAACCGGTACCAAAATGGAACCCTGGCAAGTGGAAATATGGACCAAAACCTGCGTAACCCCCCGTGTTTAATTTTGAGCCACACCCACTTCTTCAGTGCTGATTAGCGAACAGCTGCCTTCTTCCGGCCCGGAATCATCGAAACGGGGCCCGTTGGAGAACCCGAAGCGAACCAGCTATGTCCAAATAGGGTCGATGGAAATGGCGTCGGCTGTCCTTTCGGTTCGGTTTCCCTGCAAAACCCGCTTCTGAGAAGCTCTCAGGTACCCTCAAAAAGACACAACCACACCCACCCATCATGTATATATATATATATACATTGTACATATGTGGGTGTGTCTGTTTTCGAGGGTGCCTCTTCTGGCTGGTTTTGAAGGGACACCAAAAAGACCTCGTTGCCCTTCTTGCAGGGTACCCATATTTTTGAGACACATACATGTACATCAATCTGCTTAAGTCCAGAATGAACATATGTCCAGTAGTGACAACATTCGTTTCAATGGAAGTTCCCCGAACCCAAACCCACGAGGCGGGGTGTTGCGTGGTGAGGCCTCTTTGGGACAACTCCTTGGAGCTTTCCGCGGTGCGTTTTTGATTTTGATTCATCTTGGATCGACTCAAAGGTCAAGACAGTGGCGATAGATTCCATTTAATATCCAACATGGGGACAAAAAGCAAAACAAAATAACATGTCAGCCAATCACGTGGGACGTCGTTCTCCTTGCAGCTCTCAACTTCCTGGGCCTCCCAGCGCCTCCTCGGCCGCCTGCCGCGCCTTTGACGCCTCTGACGCGTTCGACGCGCCGCCGGCCAGGTGCACCTTGGCCAGCTGCTGCAGCGCCTGCGCCCGGCAAAAACTCGCGGCGCGAGGGCGGCCTGGGGGCTAGCCCGACAAGGGGGCGCCAAGGGAACCCCGAACCCTGGGGCCTCCCTTTGGGGGGACATGACATAATTGTTCATGGCTGTAGGGCCACTGTAGGGAACCCTGAAAAATGTTGGGGCTTCTTTTTTCGGGGGGACATGACATAGCGTTTTTTGGTCTTATGTTGCGCTTCGTTTGTTCTTGTCTTCTGCTGCGCAGCTTTAAGGAGCAGGGACCGTTGTGTAAATGGCTAGTAACCCTGGTCTATAACCATCCACACGTACCGTAGTTGTAAGATGTTGTAAGTGTCCAAGGCTGCCCCTTCACCTTTTGCTTGATTTGTCAGTCGCCGAAGGCTTGGAACAACCTCAGCCAGAGGTTTAAGCGTCGACAAGCTTTGGCAAGCTGGACAAGTATTCAGGGCCCCTCCTCATCCTGAATTCTTGAGTTTGGCAGTCTTAGAACGACACGTCCATGGCCCAAGATTCGTTGGCCCGAGGCACATGTTGACAAGTAGGCGAGTGGCGGCTCCTTGACGCTTCCTTCTTAATGTCAACCTAAGTTTAATAAATGGGGGCGTATTAATAAAATTCTCGGCCACCGGTTTTCACCCAATACTAAGTTAAGAAGGGGCTAATTCAAAAGTTAATTGCAAACATACAACACCCCCCCCGCAAGTCGACCCTCCAAAGCGCAACATGAATAAACCACCCAAACAATTCACATTCATAAAATTCCCCGAAACGCGGGGGCGAGCCAAACAAGTTTTTTTCTTTTGTATCAGGGAGCAAACCAGTCCAAAATGATTCAAAAGTAAGCAGGTAGCGTGCAGAAGTTGATGGCACAGAGACACATGCAACAAGTGTGCAGCGCACCAGGCAAGGTGATTGTATAACTGGAACCTTCAAAGGCTCCCCAGCAGACCTCAGATCTCCAAAAAACATACATGCCCGTAAAGTGCGGCTTTTAGATGAAGTCTCTTTACAGAAGTGATGCCCCTGGACTCCAACATGAGGTACCCCACACAAGCTCCCCAAACCTGCATTAGTAAAAGGGTTCACATTAATAAACACTCCACAGCGACTTCTAGGAAGAACTAGGTATTGGCACTACAAGTACTACAAGTACTACAAGTACTACTACAAGTATTACAAGTACTAGAAGCAGTACTACTACAGCCACTACTACAAGTACTACAAATACTAGAAGCAGCACAAGGACTACAAGTACTACAGCCACTACTACAAGTACTGCAAGTACTAGAAGCAGTACTACAAGGACTACTACAAATACTAGAAGCTACTAGTACAAGTACTACAGCTACTACTACAAGTGCTACAAGTACTAGAAGCAATATTACAAGTACATTTTTCCCCAACAGCTGCAAGCTTTGGGGTCTCAGCCCAGATAGGCTCCGGGGTGGTCCGGGGCGGCCCTGAGGTAAGGTTCCACGAGGGTTCCACCAGGATTTCACCAGGGTTCCACGAGGGTTCCACGAGGTTCTGCGAGGGCTGCGGGGTGGTGCGAGCACTAAAAAGAGCACCGCATGCTGTTGGGGATATCACCTGAGCTTATTTTTAAAACATACGGTACTTTGCCCGAAAAAAATAATAATAGAACAGTTGATGGGGGGGGACCCCGTTTACTAATATGAAGTCGACATTAACTCCTGCCACCCCGTCCCTCCGTCAACATCTCCACAACTCACTCGCCGCAAGCTTACCGTTTGGACCCTACACAAACCGGAGAAACAAAGAAAAGAAAAAAACACCTGCGAAAAGGTTAAGCTGGTTGAAGCTTGCGTCTTTTCTCCGGCTTCCAGGCCACCCTACGGGCACCCTTGCGTCTTGTCGATTGAGGGCTGCAATCTGGGGGCTGACTCCAAAGATCATCGGACATTTACATGGCTCTTTTTTTCTTCTTTTTTCTGGAGCAAACTGGTGGCTTTCCCGTCGGTGTCCAAGAAAGTGGTAGCCTCAATTACAAAGAACTTGGCTGGTTCTCAGTGGGGAATGAACCTAGGGGATTGGTTTATAGGGGTCATTCCCTTTTTATTTCTCTGAGAACCAGCAAGAAAAACGCAAACAGAAGCTAGCCCCTTCCGAGCCCAACACCCTTTCTGGCTTTCGGCCTCGCAGCAGCTGAGATGGTCCCGCCGCTGCCGCAAAGCCTGGCTCAACGGCTCAACGGAAACCAGCGGCAAATCATTCAGGGAGCCCAAAGGTGGGTTTTTGGGCTTGGTCGCGGTCTGTCCTGCTGGTAGAATCCACCCACCCCGGAGCCCACCCAACACCCACCCCACTGCGCACCTGCCAAATTAGCACACCCCACTGCGAGTGAGTGTGAAAACCGTGGCAACTTTTGCATTGCTCACTTTCGAACGAAACTTGAGCGATCGAACACGGCTCCAACCAGTCGTAGCAACTGGTTTTGGAATCCCGAGCCCGCCATGCGGTTACTTGTCTTCCTGGTTCGTGCTTCCGGCAGAAACTTCACAGGCTAAGGGCTCCCTAAATCGCTAAAGGAGCCTCGTTATGAGGTTGCGGACGCCTTGCGAAGTCGTCATGCTTTACCCAACATTTGTGTTGTGTCAGGATTTCCCAAAAAAGGTCCACCGATGTGGCAACCGCCACAAGTAGCACTTCAGCGCTGGCGACCGAAAGGTTACTGCGCCTCAAGCATCGACACATCAAAGCAGCATGTGCCGAAGCCACAAAGAAACTCTGGATTGGCTACCCTTAGCAAGGCCTTGAAGCCAGAAAGACTTCCACAAACAAGCTGCTCTGAGGCGTCACCAAGGCCCTGAGAAAATCAAGAGTAGGGTCGTATGCGGAAGAATTCGTTCAACCATGACAAGGCTCGCAAACTTCATACAGGGTTTCCCTCGGATGAGGAGCCCCTCAGAGGACACCCTCTATTCGACCAGAGGTAGGAACAAGATTTATGCAACCCTTTGAGAGGCCGGGGCTCAAAATCAGGACACGACAATGCCGACCCCTGCCACAGGCTGCAATAGGAAGGGCGTTTCCACATCTGGACGTGTGGCCTACCAGTTGCAGAATCCAAATCTGGTTCCAAATTAGGATCACCAGAACTACTGAGAGACATCACTCTTGCAAGGAAATCCAAGTGGCAAGTTAGCGTCCCAAGTTATCACCATAGACAGCTCTCAGAAGTCCCCAGGGCTTTTGGGAAAGAAAAGGCGCCCACCCAATGAAGATGGCACCTTGGGATGCGGCCTGTCTTTGTTTCCGTCCAGGGCTGCGGGAAATGACCACTTCTCTGATACACCAAATTTGGGCTCCCAAAGACTACCTTTCCTTCCCTTGTATCACAGAAGTGGGGATCAACCCCTTGATCCCACAACCTTGTTTCCGTCGGTCGGTCGAACTCCGTTCGAGTTCGAATCCAGGCATGGCCAAGAAGAACGACATCGTTTTGCCGTATGGACAAAGAACGGCTTCCCCTTGTGCGAATTGTTTGCTAGCCGAACTCCCCCAGGGCCCTCCTCTTTGTACCAATGGTGAGCTCTCGGAGCTGAAACGGGAGGGACCGGCAAGTGACCAGAACTTATGCCTCATATGCAGTCCATGTAGGGAATTCACCATGCTTTTCCGATTTTCTGCTCCATCTTATTTGCCCCGGGGCCAAGTGAACAAATGACTTGGCACAGAAGGGTGCGGACAAGGTGCACTCCGCTTGGCAGAACTTTGGGGTTGCAAAACACACATTTCAGATTCTGGTCCATATCGGTGTGAGTTTTTTTATTAGACACCCTTTGGCGGACATCACTCATAGCTGTATTCAGCCTAACCTTAATATTCAAAATGATTTTTCATGGACCGTTGGGGGGGCTATGGAGGGGGGTACGCCCAGGATAAGCCAAGGTCAGGCCTAAACTGGATCGCCCCTCGCCATCGCCCCGCGATTCGGGGTCCAACTTTGGAGTACTCGCCCCACCAATCATGGAAGCTGACGATCGGAGGGCTTTGGAAGATGATTTTCCTTTTAGCATCGTTCTTCTCAAAAACCGGCCGTTTTCCCTGGGTTTCTGGAGGTTTTCTAGAAAGAAAGACTCCTGGAAAGATTGGGGGAGGTTCCCCTAGAATGATTGTTGGGAGGGTAAACCCCGGTCTGGAAACCTTGTCAGAACCTCAACCACCCCACCTCCAAACCCTGCTGCGCGAGCTCCAGCGCCTGCAAAGCGAGAAGAGGCGCATCGGCTCACCATGAAAGCTCTTCGGGCCACAGGACCTCGTTTCTATTATGTTGGGTTCAACTGAGCCACAAGCAAAACCCGGGTAGAAGATTAGTAAGGGATAGCTTCAACCAGAAGCAGGTGGTTGACCGCCCTTGTACTTACTTCCTTACATGTTGAGTATGACTCAACTGATTGTTGTTCTCCCAGCATTGGGCTTCGTCCATCGGACTCGCCGGCAGCGTGTGAAAGGTCTTCGCTCTGAATCGGTGGCCATCGCTCAAGGACTCAAGGACTCTTAGCTCACTGGTGACTCACTCGTCAAGAGGGGATACGCTTGGGGTTTCTTGCGGCTTTGGCCGAATCTTATGAGGGAATCACTCAAAAGTGGTTGGGCGACAAAAACTCCCCACCTAAATGATGTCCGCCAAAGGGTCCACCGCCATTTGTGGATTGCTTGGGCTCATGTTGTGGATGGATGAAATCCAGCGCCAGTTGACTGCGTCGCTTTTTAGGATTTGAGCCCCCCCAAAAGGCTTCGGCTTTCCTTTTGGGTTTCCTGTATAAACCCGCCAAACGAGGGGAACAAAGGCTCAAACAAGGAACTAGGGTCCGAAATCCATTTTGAGAAACTCCCTTACCGAAAAAAAACCCTTCCACTACACCACCCCCAAAAACCCAGTTTCACCAAAGTCCAAGTATTTTTGACCTTTCCAGTCGAACCGAAGGAACTCCAGTAGAGAGGAGTTAGAATATGGGTACCAACTTTTTCTGTTGTCTAGTTTAGGGGAACCCTCCCAACCCAAAAACTTGGGTGAGAAAGGGCAGCGGGACCTAGTGAACGAAGCCAGCCACCAACTGAGTCACAATCACAACCCGGTATTAAAATGGTCTACCCAGAAACATGCTTCAAGAATCTATTAAGAAGGCGGATATGCGCAACTATTTCTGGCTGGGACTGCCCCTTGCTAACGTTCATCTACCCGAATTGGTTTTGAGCACGTGGCTCAACTCGGCTTTCGCTTCCATCGTCTTCGAAACTCGGTTGCTTTCTGCTCCCCTGCTAAAAGTGACTAACCTTTGGTGGTTTAATTGGAAAACCCATTCGTTGGATCAAAAAGTTATTCAGTCCTAACATCCCTTGGCAACATGCAAAGGAAACCGTCGCCTTCTCCTTTTGGTCCAGGTCCAGGAGTGCGGACACCACCAGGCCCCGGCAGGCCATCTGGCGCTTCGAGGGCCAAGAGCGAGCCGACTGAAACAAAAATTGCCAAGCGACGGATGCAATCGGCGGCTCGCCAATGTTACGCTTGACTTGTTGGGTTGGATGTTGTTTTTTCTTGTTCTTTTTTGAGGGGTAAGTTCGTTCCCAAAGTGCGTGGAGGGCACCGTCCTCCCAGTTCTCACGCGCACACCGTAACCCCTGGTCTTGTTTATGTGCGTGTGCTAGTTGACAAACGGATATGATGTGCTTAAATGGGGCCAAACATGCTTGAAACTCCCTTCCCCATCAAACATCCTACATTGTTTTTGGCAACGAACAAGGCCTGCCATGCACCATGCGTGGGTTAACCAGATTGTTACCCTGTCCCAGACAATAACTTTGCGTTCCTGGAATATTGGGTTTGATGCCTGTGGTCAAACGGTTTCATCTCCCAGCGAAGGCGCGGAAATCCCATTGCGGATCTTGCCCAGCCTCCAAGCACTTCACAAATCAAAACGGGAAACACATTTTTGGGCGCAACACCTTCAAACCAAAAAAACAAAAACCAGATGTCTGTGTTGAAACAAGTGTTTGGCGCAACAGCTTCAACAAAAAACACAGATGTCAACTTTTTGACCGCCTTAAGACATCGCCGCAGTAAAATTTACTGGGCCGCTCAGACCATCTTCCAGCGCACCGTTTTTGATCGCCTCCCGCGGCTTGTCGCGGAGTTTCCGGAAGATCTCCTGACTTGCGCTCGGCTCCAGGGCCATCTGGAAACGGGGTGCCCTCAAAAAGGATGGCCATGTGTGCCATGAAGAGATGGCCATGGGCTTTTCAAAAGCCAAATCGTACTCCCTTTGTGAACATCAACCAATCCAACCACTAAAATAGGTTCTAAAATGGGTGGTGAATTCACCTACCCCCAAAATGGTACTATTGGTTTTGACCCACAGCCAGATCTGTTTGCTTGGGGTTGGTAGGGATGGTCAAGTTCTTGATAGTTTCAGCAACAAATGGGTGTGGGTCAAAATTAGTCACCACCAGGAATTGGACCGCAGGTTTAAATATCCTTGGTTCCATTTACCAGGGCAACCCATTTTTGGGTACCTGTTTTTGACCCACAGCCATCTATGGACCCCAGACAACTGTCGGAGCAATGCTTCCATGATTCCATGGATCTCATTTCCGCAATCTATTCAGACATCCGCCAATTTTCCTTGTGGAATGCCCACTGAGCACGTGCTTTCATTCACAAACTGGAATTCGCAAGCAAGGGAACCTGGTGATACAATTTGCCCAGATCGGGCCGGCTCGGTCCAACTAACAGACTTGGGGCTGGTGCAATTGCCTGGAGTTGACCTGGGGGTTGCATGGAAACAAATGTTTAAGTGTGTGTGTGTGTGTGTGTCTGAAAATAGCCCGCCCGGTGGCTTTCTTTTGGTTTCCCTTCAAAACTAAAAAAGGTAGCCTCAAAAAGAGAAACACCCAAACACCAATCCCCGGCATGCTTGCCTCTATGCCTTGGACATCCCTACCATCGTCAACATGTTGCACACTCCAAAACACACGGAAGCAACTTGGCAGGGGCAAGTGTTGCGCCTTGCCGCTGCCATCTGGGTTCAAGAGAATGCGATGGGTCAAGCAGCTTCCAAAGGGCAGTTTCATGGACTTTGGAGGTAGGGAGGCTTGTGCCAACATAGAAGCTGGTAAGGCTGCACATACCCTACAAGTGGTATACTCCCTCAACCTTACCTGAAGATGCCAACTTGAGATTCACGGGGGGGGGAAAAGAGGTCCTTTGCTGCCCAAGGAGTGCCGTGTTCGAAACTTGTGGATTGATCGGGCAGAGAAGGGGATCTGGCAAAATGCCAGTACAAAGACACATTCTCTGTCTTTTTGAGGGTACCCCTTTAGGAGGAGGGGGGTGGCTTAAATGGAAACCAGAAGGACATCTTCTATTTCAGGTACCCCCAAAGAATAGATCCGCATTCGGCATGGCCTGTTGATTGGTGGAAAGTCCGTCAAGCCCCGTGGCTACAAACCCATTGCTCTGGGTCCGTTCATGCGTCATGGCCGCTTCTCCAACCCGAGCCTCCCAGTCGTTCCAAGTAAACAGAGTTCGCCGGCCCGGCTTTCACTAACACCATTTCCCAGAGGGGCCTTCTGGTATCCGGGCCTGAACTGCATCCGCAACTTTTGACACCTGAAACAAAAGATGCGCCCTGTCAAAAACCTGCTTCTCTGGTCTCTCCTCCAATAAATTATCATGATCTGGGTCCCAAATTGAGGTGGCCTAAGCTGAGAGATGGTCAACAGACTCCAGGCAAGCCCTAAAAACGGATATAGGCAGTAGCGATGCATTCCTGGGCGATGCTCCGAATCTGAGTATTCCCTTTTGGCCCAACGGATGCGCTTCTTCCCTCTTCCCCTCCCTGGGGCACGTCAAAAACGAGGCCCCAAAAGCCATTGGCCCTTTTGGGTCCTAGGGACCTTTATTTCAACCAAAAAGTTAAAGTCCAAAGATCCGTTGCCCAATAGCAGTCAAGCAAGGCATGGCGATCTCACACTGCACAGAACTGTACTGGGCTACCTTCCCACCTTCCAACTAATCGCCTGCCCGGCCGAACTATGCGTACCTCACCCAGCCACAACTCCTCGCTCGAGAAGCTGAGCGCCCCAGCCTGCGCTTCTTCCGCGAGGCTCAGCGCTTCCGCGGCCTCCCCTGCGCTCCTCGAGACAGAAGCGACCGACCCCTGCACGAGGAATGGAATCGGCGGCTTGGGTGCTGGAACCTCGAAAAAAAGGGTCGTTTCCCTCTGCTTTCCGCAAACAAGAGGGGCCATCCCAAAGAAGATTGGTTTTGAAGAGAAACCAAAAGGAACACCAATTCTTCTTTTTTTGTTGGGAGGGGGGGGAGGGGGCGGTTGGGACCTCCTAAAAGTAGACACCCCCAAATCAAGCCCCTTGGAGGTCGATGTTCAGAGTCGGCCACGCGCAGCTCCCGAGGGCGAAATTGGACCATGAGCCTCCTTTGGTCCGTGGTTCTGGGTTGCTCTTCCCACCCCAGGCCGATCTCCCTGTGCGGGAGAGGGACGGACGGAGGTCTACTTCAAAACCCTCCGGACCGGGTGGACTCCCGTGGCTTGCCAGTCGAGACGCCGGATCCAAGCAGCCCGGCGCCCGTGGGGGATGCTCCCAGCCCCGCCGGGAGACGGGTGGCGTCGTGGCTGCAAGGCCCATCCGAAAAAGGGGCGCCCTGGAGCAGAGGAGACCACCGCCAGCTCTTCCCCCAGTCTCTTCAGACACCGCGCGATGCTTTTTTTTGCCATCGGGGTGTTGCCCGATTTTTGGAGAAGGATCTCTGAGAATGGACATGGAAGGTACGGCCCAACTGGACTCTCCGTAGCCCGAAACAGGTTTGTTTCAAAATGAGGGAACCGGCAAAAAATGGCGGGTCGCCTTTTGGTTTCCATGCAAACATAGGTGGCCATTTGGAAAAATCGACATGGAACAATACTACTCTAAACCAGTGGAAACCCTCGATTTCTAACCGGTAACCATATAGTCTAAAAGCACACCTAATGTTGACCCCAAATTGTTAAAAAAAGGGGTGTTCCCCTCCAAAAGTGCTGATTTCCACTAAACCCAGGGGCGCCCCCTACTAGCAAAACTGGGATTGGTCTGGGGTCAACACTCTGCCTGTCCAACCCGCCCAAACCCCAGTTCAGTGACCCTGGTCAAAGGGAGCCCACAAAAGGAGCAACTGGACTCTCCGCCTGCAAAATATGTTTTTCCTCTCAAACTACCAGTTGTGAAACAACATCTCATTTTCTCATGGTGAGCTCACCCTAAAGGGAGAAAGAACATCTTTTTCTTCATCATGAGCTCACCCGGAAAAAAATATAAAATAAAAAAAGAGAAAAAATGGGGCGGACCAAAAGAACCGGAAAAAAAAAAAAAAAAACGACCGGAGGGGCTGCCGCGTCTCTCTTATTTTTCGCCGAGCCGCAGAAGCGCCCGCGCGGCCAGGTGCCGCGCCGCGGCCTGGACGAGAGGTCCAGAAAAAGCGGTTGGCCGGGGGGAGGTTCGTTGGGGAAGGCGAATCGCCGTTTGGAGGGTGCAAGTCTCTTTGTTTTTCTTCGGGCAACAGCCAAAAGGGGTCCATTGACATGCCCAGTGGGCTGCTTGAAACTCTTTGGGATTCCAGTCCAAGCACACCAACTCCTTCTGGTAACCCAAGGATGGGCCTCATCTTTGTAAAGTCGCGCTCCAGCGGCGCAAGTGGCAAGCAATCTTGGAGGGTCCAATGAAAGGGGTGCTACACTGTTGCTTGGGCTATGGTTGCTTCACTCGTGTGGGTCCAGAGCCCATGGATTTCACCAACCTGGGAATAAGGTGGTTGGGGGGCTATTCCCCACATAAACCACCACTTGGGGTGAATTCGGTCGTGTGAGGTCGTTATAACTCACCCAGACAAAATAATTAATCAAAACAGTACCTAGGCAAGGGTTCCTAGCATGTTGCAACACATCGCAGAAGCGGAGAAGCTATTGCCAGCACCTGGGCCTGCTTTCTGTCCTCGCGCGGCCCAGCGGGGCAAAAGCGACACCGCTTGTTGGCTGACTCCCACACAGGGTGCAACCCAACGAATCAAACTTCGCCTTTGCAGGCCCCTTTTCAAGCGCCATCGGTTCTTCGTGCGCAAAGTTTCAGCCTCTGAAAACGGGACCTGTTGGACTTCAGAACGCCTTTCCTCCTTTTCCTGGGCTGTTCAAAATGGAGGGTTGGCCAATCCTAATCCATAATCCCTATTAAGGATTGAGGATTACCTTTCAGAACCTTTTCCTTTTCCTGACCTTCGCCGCGCAAGCCCCTCCATCGGCCGAAGGTGCGGAATGAGGCTCTGTGCGCCTTGGTCCGAAGCCCGTGCATAGCTTGCTGCGTGGACCACTCATCCACTGGCGGAGCTGCTACCAAGCACTTCGAGTTGCTTGTCAAAGGACGCCTCCGGATCCAACGTCATGGGCGGCTGGCACAGATCCCCCCATATCGAGACAACACAAGTCTGAGCACCAGCAATAACCTGCACACCTGCACAAAAGCAGAACCTTCTGGCGGCGAACGGTGATTGCAACAAAAAGGGTTGTCGCTGAACATGTCAACGAGGTCAAACGAGGTCACCATCCGTCTCAAACCACCTCCAAGCTCCGCAGGCAGCCCCTGCCACTGATCGTCACTTGGGCCGAGTCTATGTCAAAATCTGAAATAAGAATCAGATTTCCAGCGCTAAAGGACCAACTAAAGGACCAACTCAAGGACCTATTGAGCTCGCGCTAGGTGAGCTCGCCCTAAACGAGGAGGATGGGTGCGGTCCCATTCTTTTTAAGGGTACCCTTTCTGTCGCACATAAAGGGAAACCAAAATGGCGAACTCCCACTTTTGGGGGTGCGTACCTATCTTTTTTGGTGGCTTTCAAGAAAAGCCGAAGACATTTCGGGGCTTGAAATGGCCGGTTCTCCCCCAGTGAACACCCCAATCCAACCACTAAAATAGGTTCTAAAATGGGTGGTGAATTCACCTACCAACAAAAATGGGATCCCAAAACGGTTTTGACAACCACGGCCAAATCCCAAAAGACGAGCTCAGATCTGTTTCACCTAAAAATAGACAACTAGGTCTTCCAGTAGAGAGGTTAGAATAAGGGTACCCTTTTGTCTGTAGTCTATTTTATTAGGGGAACCCTCCCCCAAACAAGTTGGTAAAAAGGCACCTGGCTGGGGGACCTAGACAACAAAAATGGGTTGTGCATCCGTCTCCTCAAGCGCAGGCGCCTCATCCCGGCCGCCCTCGAAGAGCTCCGCGGCCTCCGCCGCGCGCTTTGCCACAAGGCGCCACTCCTCCCTGCGAGTCGGACTTCGGACCGCGCGCACGTCCGAAAGTGGCCGCGTCAGACAGGGATCCTTACATACACCTGAACATGGCAACTTGTACATGGTGGTTTCCCTTCATTTTGGTGTTAAAGAAGCCATGTTTCAATTGGGCACAGTGGAGATCTTTTGAGGAGCCCTGTAAAAGATGCCACAGAACCAATCCAAAAACCAGACACAGCAGGAGGATAAACGTCTCGAAAACCTGGCTTTTCATGGCCATACAGCCTTCAACACCGGGCTTGGGTGCTGACGCAGAACTAGCATAGTGTGACTGAACACTCTTGTTTTATGACAGCATAGATGCTTGAACCGATTTTAATTCTAGAGGCCGAGTCTTCTTCAATTGGCAACACGAACGTGTTTTGTTCTGCTTATCAGTAATTCGGCCAATCATTTTTGACTCCGGACTCACTTTCTGTTTCATAATGCGTTTCACACTCAATACTACCGGGCTTGGGTGCTGACGCAGAACTAGCATAGTGTGACTGAACACTCTTGTTTTATGACAGCATAGATGCTTGAACCGATTTTAATTCTAGAGGCCGAGTCTTCTTCAATTGGCAACACGAACGTGTTTTGTTCTGCTTATCAGTAATTCGGCCAATCATTTTTGACTCCGGACTCACTTTCTGTTTCATAATGCGTTTCACACTCAATACTACTCTCTCAGAAAACGACTGAACATATGTCCAAGCATCTTTCTAGTGCAACTCCATGATAATAGTATCCCACCTCCAAACTCATTCATGCAATGATGAAGCCGTCACCAAAACGAGATGCAAACATGTTCAAACTCGTCAGCCTGCTTTGCAGGAAAGACTTTATTTAGCCTGCTTTGCAGGAAAGACTTTATTCATTCTATTGCGCCCAGTGAGTGGAATTAGACCCTATGACACATGGCCCGTTCCCCGGTGTGCTTCGCTTTAGTCACCAGTTCCACTGCTTTCCAAGGTGCATCAAGCTATAATATTGCGAAATCCCTCGTCGACTGGCAATGCTGGACAACTTTGTTTCAACACGACTGTGTCTTTTCTTGAGGGTACCACTTGTTGCTTGGTCTTCAAACGAAGCCAAGAGGACCCCCACCATTTTGGGGCCTCCCGTGCTCCTCTCCAAAGCGCACCGTGCCCCTCTCACCCGCAGCATCGAGCAACGGATACCTAGCGGCAGCCCTCTACCGCCGGCCTGTGGTTGTGTACCTGGGCCAGGGCACACAGCGGAAGACTTGGTTGACGTTGAAAGGGGAGCGAAAATTCATTTTTTAGCAGTTAAGGGGGGATTTCCCACTAAACACCAATACGCAAAAAAGTAAAATGTTTTCTGACAACCACCATAAAGATCAGCCTCCACATCTCCAAACCATCACTCCCAAATGGCCATGGGTCTACCCCCAGTGAACATCCCAATCCCCGCTAAAATAGACGAAAATGGGTGGTGCACCTACCCCCAAATGGTACCATTGGTTTTGAGCCACTCCCAAATGTGACCCCAAGAAAATCAACGCACCCATGCCATGATACAACAATGCGCAAGGCTTTTCTAATAACATTTTGAGACCATGGGGCAAGTGGCTGGACGTCCTCTTACTGACATTAGGCAAGGCTGAAGTTGCCAACAGGCCGCAAGCCTACGCCATGAGTTGCTTGAAACGAACCAGGTCTACCTGTTGGATCCTCCGAGCTCCAACCCATTGACGCCAATTGACGCCACAGCCGGAGCAAGCGCAGTCTATGACTCGAATGAGGAGATGCCTTTTGCGGGGGCATTTGATTTTTGGGGTTGGGCAAACTGGGAGTTAGCTGAGAGACATGCTTCATGCATCGACAACAAGTGTATCACCAATAGTCATGATGACGCAAATGAATAATGCCACCAGGTGCTGGTTCTTGCTTGATTGGGTTCAACCAGTGCTTCGGGGTCAACAGGCTAGGTTTGAGTGGGTTCAGCTGGGGTGAATATCACCTTGCTCTGCAAGGCGGGCTCTAAGGAAAAGGAGTTCTTGCTGAGCCGGGGCTTGATGGGTTGCAAATTAGATTGCTTACTTGATGTGGACATATTTGTGTGTGTGGTTCGAACTATTGGTGTCAAACCAGTCTTCACCGGACTCTAGCTTTTGCTCCCCCGTAAATAATATGCTTGATTCTGGCCCATACTCAGGGAACCAGAACATTCTGAAGTGCAAAAGCTGAAGCCTGAAACATATCTGTTCCGGTTGGGACCTTCACATACATTTGAGAGCTTGTCGGTCATTTGTTGAATCTAAAAACCGATGGCCTTGCGGCTCAACATGAAGGTCGGTACAGGGCGCTCGGTGTTTGGTGCCAAAGCCAACTGGGGCTTCTCCAAAGGGGGCACGTGTCACCACTCAACAAAAACGCGCCGCGTTGGATTTCTCTTTTTTTTTTTGCCGAGCCAGCCCAACCAACCCCCCTCCGTTCGTCCACCCACTCCCAAAGGGCCTCCGCCAGCACCACCAGCGCAGCGGCCTCATCCAAGCGCTGGCCCGCGTCCACGCGGCACCGCGCCAGGCAGGCCTTTCGATTCGACAAGGCTGGGAGGCTGACCTTGACTCCAAGAACACCTCCGCGTGGGGAAAATCAGATGGCTATGGGTAAAAACTCCGGTTATCCCCCCAGTGAACATCCCAATCCAACCACTAAAATAGGTTCTAAAATGGGTGGTGAATTCACCTACCAACCAAAATGGGATCTCATTGGTGTTGACGGCCAGATGGTTGGCTCGCCCCTGGGAAACTTCGTGGGCTCCACACTGCAAGCGACTGTGGGGTGCACCATGGTACGCCTTCGGATGCCTTCGGTGCAAGAGGCAAGTTGTTTTTTCTTTTTTCAAACGCCCTTGAAAGAACGGATCTGCCAAAGCGTGAACATACCTGTTCCTTTTGCGCTGGCTGTCAAAAGACGAGTTCTCCTCAGTGCTTCAATCAAGGGCAGAACCCACTGGGTGTTGGAGGTTTGGATGTAGGGTGGAGGTTTGGATGCTTGTTCCCACCAACACGTCATCGTGCTTAAGCCCATGCCTGGAACTCAATTCAAGATCCTCATTCACTTTTCGCTTGTTTTTAAGGGGCCCAGCACAGCCCCGAATTACACCAGCCTCGAGACCAAACAGCAAACAAGCAACACAGGAGATCGACAGCTTGCCGCCATCTGCAGGCGTGGCCATCTCCAGGCGTGGCGCACGCAACCTGCCCCTCGCAGAGAAGCAGGCTCAGTTGGTTTTGATCAAGACCAAAAGCTGGAAGATGTCAACAAGCGTGCCCAGCAAGAGGTAAGCCCCAAAACTCACTGCATCTGGCATCTAATCGGAAAGACTGGGACGGATTAAGCGGGAGTCGGCGAGCCAGCATCACACTTTCCCATTCTTTAAGCCTCAAGTTAGAACCCCAATGCTTTGCTGCTTAGAATGCTTTGCTGTTTGAGGAGAAAAGGCATCCGGTTTTGGTTCCCACGATTTGTGGGCCGAAAGGGAATGCCTGACCATCGGCCAGCCTTTGGAGAGTAAATGGGGGAGGAGAAAGATCAAATCACAACCAGCACCTTGTGGTTTCCTTTGGAGGAGTTCACAGTCTACCTGATGCTCAGCCAGCAAGACTAAGATTGTGCGACACTATGTATATAAATAGATATTAGATACACAGGTGCATATATATATATATCTATATATTATATATATATATATACATATGTCAAAGCGGTACGAGGGGGGTTGTCACAGAATTCAAGCGGGAAGGACGAGAGACACCGCCATGATGCGGGGCAAAAGCGGAGAACTGCTAGTTCTCCACAGTTGCACAATTCACCTCTAGACGTTCTGAGGGAAACTTTCGGACCCCCCCCAAAAAAACAACAACAACAACCAAAGGTCCACTTCTCAAGAAACCCTTTTCTTCTCAGCCGGGTCAAAACTCAAGACACCAGACTGGCTGGCCCATGTCTGCAAGCAGCAAAGCCAGGCCTCTCAGTTCCCCTCCAGTGATAAATCCTCACGAAACCTCGGAACACCCCCTACTAATAACCAGGGGTTGAATAATCCGGGCTCAACATGACTGAAGTGTTCCTGACAATTCTGGGTTGAACCGTCAACTCAACCGAGGCCTTTTGAGGCTTGACCATTTCTGGGATGGAATCCACACAATCTGGAATCCGAGCCTCCGCGTCTGCGAGCGCCTCAGCGGTCTCTCCACCTCAAGATGCAGAGGGGGCCATCTGGAGATGACATGTTTCTTCCCGGAGGCCATCTGGCGGCTTGCCTTGTGAACCCATGCAAAAAAACCACAAACGTTTCTACACCTATAGGGCAATATGTTATTGTCAAAGTTTTGAGAGATACCGAAAACATACCAATATGTCCCATGAACATGGGACACACATGTCCATCACCTTTTCCGTTACTAAGCGCCGCAAGAGGCTCATGCGTGAGTGAGTGGCTCTTCTGGTGCGCGCACACACTGCGTAGATAACCCAATCCGAGCTAGACATGTTGTGTCACGCATGTCAACAATCTGCAAACGCCTTCATCTCAGGTTCGGGCTTCGTTCTTTTTCATTTGCTTAGGCCGCCAGGCAAAAATGAGGACATACTTCTTCCCCCAGTAGCGAAACCGATTCCATGCAAGCCCTCCGCCACCACGGACTGGCAGTCCCCGCACAGGAATCAAGGAAAGATGAAAAAACGCCATATTCTGAAGCCGCAAACAGAGGTTCTCAACTTCTTTGCTGAACAACCGGCGCTGGCAAGCACGTCTCAACCCGCAGGGCTCCGGTTTCAGCGGAGCCCTGCCTTTTGTGGTGGGCTGACCTCAGATCCCCCGCTTTTAGTGGGTTCCATGGAAATCCAACCACCAAACACTAAAAGGCTAAAAAGCTAAGGAGCCGGATGGCTGGGAACCACCAAGTCAACATGAAATGGGTTGGACAACTCGAAGGACTCGAACATCTAGCCTCCCGCCCCTGAAGGTTGATTTCCTTTTGGCTTCCCAAAAAGAAAACAAAAGGACAAACAAACACACACACACACACACCCACCCACCCACCCACCCACCCACCCACCCACCCACCCACCCACCCACCCACCCACCCACCCACCCACCCACCCACCCACCCACCCACGCACGCACGCACCCACGCACGCACGCACGCACGCACGCACGCACGCACGCACGCACGCACACCACGCACCCACCACCCACCACCCACCCACCCACCACCCACCCACCCACCACCCACCCACCCACCACCCACCACCCACCCACCCCCCACCCACCCACCCACCCACCCACGACCACACCCACACCAACGCACGCACCCACGCACCACGCACGCACGCACGCACGCACGCACGCACGCACGCACGCACGCACGCACGCACGCACGCACGCACGCACGCACGCACGCACGCACGCACGCACGCACGCACGCACGCACGCACGCACGCCACGCACGCACGCACGCACGCACGCACGCACGCACGCACGCACGCACGCACGCACGCACGCACGCACGCACGCACGCACGCACGCACGCACGCACGCACGCACGCACGCACGCACGCACGCACGCACGCACGCACGCACGCACGCACGCACGCACGCACGCACGCACGCACGCACGCACGCACGCACGCACGCACGCACGCACGCACGCACGCACGCACGCACGCACGCACGCACGCACGCACGCACGCACGCACGCACGCACGCACGCACGCACGCACGCACGCACGCACGCACGCCCGCACGCACGCACGCACGCACGCACGCACGCCCGCACGCACGCACGCACGCACGCACGCACGCACGCACGCACGCACGCACGCACGCACGCACGCACGCACGCACGCACGCACGCACGCACGCACGCACGCACGCACGCACGCACGCACGCACGCACGCACGCACGCCCGCACGCCCGCCCGCCCGCCCGCCCGCACGCACGCACGCACGCACGCACGCACGCACGCACGCACGCACGCACGCACGCACGCACGCACGCACGCACGCACGCACGCACGCACGCCACGCACGCACGCACGCACGCACGCACGCACGCACGCACGCACGCACGCACGCACGCACGCACGCACGCACGCACGCACGCACGCACGCACACACGCACACAGACACACACACACACAC